AAATAAATCAATCCCCCTGATGTCCCTGATGTCTTTGGTGTTTTTCTACCTTTAGTTAGTAAACTATTTAAGGCTTTCTTCAATTTGAAGCCTATTTGAAGGTGATTTTGCAATTCGAAAAAATGACTTAAAATATTGCGACCACAGATGAATAAAAATGCCCAGCCATAATAATATTATACAACTGTCCGCTGAATAAATTATTTATCATACAACATCATTCTTTCCAAATTCCAAAAATCTAGTAGGCTTTTAAAACTGTAAGTATAACTGTGTTTTTCTGTAGCGCATGTGGTCAGGGGGATTAAGAAGAGTGTAATACGGTCTCTTATTATATGGCAAACTGGTCCACGACGAAAAGGAACATTCTGATTGGTAATACGGACCGATATTTTGGTCATACGGACCGTATTTTGCAAAATTGTTTTCTATTAAGTAGAAACATGTTTCCTCGTGTCTGGCGGACAATTTCGGTTAAACTTTTCGCAAAGTGGCCTGAAAAATGCAAGACTATGCTTAGCTTTGGCGCGCGCGCGTTAGCCGAGAATGGTTGCATTAATTTATCAGCAAGTTTTTAAAAAAGCCATTATAATAAAAACTTTATTGAACTAGCTTGTTCGGTCCGTATTGGGAAATATTGGTCTCGTTCTTTTTTTGCAAGTTTATGGACCTCGCCTTCGGCTCGGTCCATAAACTTGCAAAAAAAGAACGAGACCAATATTTTCCCAATACGGACCTCACGCTAGTTCAATAACATCTATTTATTATATGGCAAACTGGTCCACGATGGAAAAGGAACATTCTGATTGGTTTCCCTGAGCGGTCCGCATTTGGCAATACGGACTGCTAAGATGGACCGCTCACGAACTCATTTCGCCAAATTCCGTTTATGAAACATCGAAACAAAATGAAACCGTTTTCTATTAAGAAGAAAGAATGTTCCTCATGTGCTGGCGGACAATTTTGGTTAAACTTTTCGCAAAGTGGCCTGAAAAATGCAAGAATATGCTTAGCTTTGGCGCGCGTGCGTTAGCCGAGAATGGTTGCACTAATGTTTTTCCCTTTTTTTTTTTTGTTTTTTCCCCCTTTTTTCAGGCAAATTTTTTAAAAGCCCATTTATAATAAAAACTTTATTGAACTAGCTTGTTCGGTCCGTATTGGGGAATATTGGTCTCGTTCTTTTTTTGCAAGTTTATGGACCGAAGCCGGACCAATATTTTCCGGCAATACGGACCTCACGCTAGTTCAATAACATCTATATATTTGCACTCTTTTGGGTGCTTAATTATTCACACTCTATACATGCTGCATGTCGTATAATAAAATATTATCTAAACTATTTCATGCTCAACTTTATCCAAATAACTTGTTTTATGATATGTATATCTCGACACCGCTGCTTTGTTTCCAGTGGTGTAATTGTAACCCGCCGCCAGCTATCACTGGACCCTGGACTAATGGCAAACTTTTTTTTTTTAAAAGATCAACTACTTTGAAAAAATATTATTTACAACAGGAGGGGAAAAATCACGTTTTGTACTTTTCTCACTTCTACTGAACTTTCTGCAAGTTATTAGCATCATCGTGAGCAGTTTGATTTTTCTTTCTTCTTTCCAATGGTAAGTTTAAGGAAAAGAGTGTTATATATAATCTTTTTAAGGAAGGAATAAATAAATGTACTGATTTTTTTTTAATTTTTGTTGTTATTTAAAGCAGTTCATTTTAGTTTCAACCAATTATTATTATAAAACGCCCCATTCACACGGGGGACCGCGCGTTTTCCATTTATTATACACCCCCGAAACCCACGGATCGGTATCATAACTTTCCGATGCAGTTAGCGCCTGAGGCCTCCATTTACACGGGCACCATGTGATGTGTAACCATGTCCGTTTTGAAAAGTTTATCCAAAGTGGAGCGATCCGTTTTTCAAAGTTGCTTCTGGTTACAATGAGATAGGATTGCCGTGTAGAAACGGAAGGGGGGCCACACGGAGACAAAAAACCCGTGGTCATAGATTTTTTTGAGGTGAGAAAGCGCATTGAGATTTTTTGGCCCGGTAGCAGTGAAGAGCTTTTGGAAAAAAACAGCCAGGGCATCTAATTCTTGCATACATTGTAGAGAAGAGGAAAGAAAATGAGAAACAAAATAATATTGTTGAAAAGCAAAACTCATTGCTGTTTGGATATTGAGTATGTGGAAACCTCATGTACGTTAGTGCTAGAACAAATCGGATGAACGGTTTGTCACTCAGGCGAACTATGCAGCGGATGATTTTCTGGCGAGGACCCCTGCGAGTCACGTTATACTAGTACATTACTAGTAAAATGGAGTTGAAACAAGGGTGATTGTTTTAAGTTATTTTATTTTACCAACCTTCACCCAAAAAAATTCACTTTCAATTCTCAACACTCAATTTTTTTCCTAGTTACAAAAGTCAGTAAAGTGAATGGAGTAGTAAAAATTAGCTTAGAATATTGGCTACCACGGTTCATCCCCTCCATCCCTCGTTTCCAACACATAAATGTTGAGGAAGAAAAAGGTGTTTAATCAATCAAATGACACAAGCTACTCGAAAAAAAAATCAGAGTTCTTACAATGGGAGTCCAAACCTTCATGTATGACTTTCCGCTCACTCGGGTCGGACACTCTACCAACTAGAGTACAGGAGGTCTACTCATGGGAGCTTAGGCCATATAACCAAGGTTCAAAATTGTGAACAACCTCCAACATATACTGCTAGGATTAGATTTGTCGATGAGTGACATTGTGTGGAAAGGAACTGAAAAGATTTTAATGCAGTCAATGAACACAAGCTACTTGAAAACAATTTGAAAGTGGTTGATATTTTATTTTTATTAAAACAGGAACTACAGGAGGATTGTGAAAAAGACATTTAGGAGATTTCTCCAAGCATCTACAACTTCCTCAAGTACAGTTGATTGTGTTTAAGATGGTTAGTAATGTTTTCAACTTCAGCCTGTTAACTTTCATTTCATTGGCATAGGTTCATTCTCTTAATTTCGCTAGATTTGTAGATTCAATAGTGCTGCATGGCTCAGCATTTAATTGTGTACGCCTTCTCATCCACATTGCTGAGAATCACCACCTTAATTACGCCACTACTCTGCTCCCATATAGTGGCAGGCACGGTGGCCAAATGGTTAGCGGCGTTGGACTCCAGATCGAGCAGGTCCTGGGTTCGAGCCCTGGCCAGGTTCACTGTGTTTGTGTTCTTGGGGCAAGACACTCAACTCTCACATTGTACTTTGCCTTTTTCCATCGGCATGGTGCTCCTTCTCTTAGATCAATCACATACTCTGTAGTGTAGTAGAACTTGTCATGTTTAGTTGAAAGTTTTTTCTTTCGTTTCTCTTGCATGTTTGCTGGGGGCTATCAGTCATAAGACAGGCCACTCAGCCATGTTTCAAAGACAGTCCCCCTTACACCTCTGTATTACTTTGACTATTAACTGTCTTCTTAGCAAAGATCAACAACTTGAGACTGTAGGAGCTGCGTTAGCTTCCAAGATTGCAAGATATAATGTAACTGATTGTCTTCTGTCTTTTGACTAGCCTGCGAGCAAGGCTCACTTCCCTCTGCGCCAGCGGCGAAAGCCCACGAGAATCCATTCACGAGCGGCGCCAGTGACATGACGAGAAAGTCACTTTCCTTGTCCTCTCGCACGTGATTCTTGCTGCTTTCGGCCACTCGTGCATTGGGCTGTAAATGTGTAGCCTGCTGGGATTGCTAAGTCGTGACTCACATTTCATGTTTATAGTACCCACACATGTATACTAGTATCCTTAGCTGAAGATACGAACTTAGCCTTGACATTAGAAATGAAGTTCTTTTGTGGAAAAGTCGATCAAAGTGACGAAAAAGGAGGCTGTGCATTTCTAAAATCACTATACCTATAACATGGATTGTACATGAATGAAGCCATAACAGGCATAATTCATGTTTATATGAAATACAAGCAAGGGGCCACACCCAATATTAAATTACTTTTCTGGCCCGCTCGCAACAAGCGTTCTTACCCCTAGAAAAAATAAGAACCTATTTTAAAGAAACCTAAACAGCCCTGATTTCTCACTAGAACTCAGACCTTTTAACACTGACTTTGAAAAATGCAGGTTCTTACTATATTTCCCAGATTGTACAGTAAAACGCATTTTTCGACACATGTAGTTTCTGTTTGTCATTGCGCCGTGAGGCAAGTAGTGGATTTAGCGCTATATAATTATTAAATTATTATATTATAACTTTCAACCTACGGATTGCTTTAATTCGCCAACATAATTTACGTTCAAATGATGCTGATGGTTCTTATCTAGTGTGCATACTTGTATCCCTGATGTTTTCATGCACTTTAAAAATATTTGCTAAGGACGTCAGTTTGTAAATGCGCCACCGGCAGCCGCTATCAGTCCAGTTCTGACCTCACCTTCCCTACGAGTTGATATGTGAAGGTGAAGGAGACAATGCTAACGGCTTGACGTCCCTGTCGCAAGGACGTGATCATCTGAAGGCTATGTGCTAGTTCTTGAGTTGTCACGGTCCCTGATTATGACGCATTTACAAGAGAGGATGATCTAAGAGAAGCATTCCCTCCCAATGATAATTTTTTGAAATATCGTTTTTGTGTTGTGTTACACAAACGCAACACCTTAGTTTTATTTGAGGCTTTTTTGTCATGGCTCACTCGATCACTTTCTTCTAAGATGTTGACCTTTGGAAATTTTAAAGAAACGTATGGGGAAATTAAATTACGAGATTTTGCTTTATAACATTGCTTGCAATTACTTCTGCAGACAGCGCTAAGGTATATATTTTTTCTTTTGTGCAGGCGGTTTTCCCTTGTGTTACTTTTGTGCAAAAGACGCATGCGTGTAGCGCCCAAATTCGGAATATAATGCACCAGAAGCTCTAAATTATTGACCTGATTTCCTACAAGTCACTGACGAGATTTGCTCAAAATCAAGGGCAATTTTAGGGAAAAGGACAATCTCTATGACTAAAAACAGGAAAATGTATTGAAAAAGTCGAGTCCGTAATTTACATTTATGCGCCAAAACCAGCAGTCAACGAGTGCTGTTTTTCTCAGCTATAAACAAAGCAGAGAATCATCAGCCGTGCCTATGCAGCTTCAAATTCTGTTCAATACAGAGGCATTTCCCTAGGCCTGTACGAGCGGAAATATTTCCTGAAGTTTATCAGCGTACTGAGTTTTTATAACAGGGCCGATCGCATCCGAAAATTAAATATTCGGAAAGCAAAGACGAATGTCAGAAGGCAAAATCACTGTTGTAAAATACATGTATAAATATGACTGTGACCTTTAGCTCGTTTTATTCGATCACTTTAACTTTACACCATTATGATGTGTGACGAATTCGTGCTATTTATTGCACTGTGATTTTAGCAAATTTAAATTTGAATCGAATCGAATAGAGTCAAATCGAAATCGATTATCGTAACACAACATGGCCTAAGGGGCCCCTAGTTAATTTTCAGTCCATGAAGCTGAGCTATTGTTAAGAGCGCTACCTGATTGGTCAGTTCGAAGTAACGTGATGTCGGAGCCTCGATCATAAGGAAATAAAAATAAACTTTCACAGCATGGCGCGAAACTATTAATATAATTATAAACATTAATCATGCAGTACAGGGAATCCTTCTCTTAGATCATCCTCGTCTTGCTATTTACTTATCAGATACAAGAAAACATTGCCCTGGAGTGTTCTACAGCCATTATTGAAGTTCTAACCAGAGATGTGACCCCAGAAACAGGTTTGTGAATTCATTCAATTCCTGGACTTATTGGTTCATTAGGAAAACTGCTCTTGACTTCTACATACTATAACAAACCTGCAGGGCCCCGGTTTGTTCAAAGGACGATTAAGCACAATCCAGGATTAGCATGGATATTGATTTCAGTTTTGTAACTTTTCAGTGAGGTTTTCTGGGGGTACATTTTTTGTCCTTCAGTTTTAACTTTGAGTAATCTGAAAACTTTCAACTGAAAACATTATCAGTGAAAAACACTTGTATACAAGAGAAATTGAAATCTCGATTGACGTTTTAATCCAGTATTAGCGTTAATCTGCTTACGGATATCAGCGGTAGCGCCGCCCGGCCGAAAATCCAAAATTGATAAATGTAATACAAGGACTTGAAAGGCGTTTTAATGCTCAAGATTTTTGTTGTAAAGAGGTAGCGTCCACCGAGTGGTTTAAGCTCTGTTTTTTTTTTCCCGGAGGGGAGATCCGGGGTTCAAGCCCTCCATCCTGACACAGCTGGATTTGTCTCTCGGTAGTCTCGAGTTCACATCCTCGGCCACGCCCATGTGTATAGTCAACTGGTCAGCCTCCCTCCTGCCAGTTGGGCCGATTGTGTTTAACAGTTTAGCCGGTTTGAAATATTTGTTTAACATTTTACGAGTAGTTTTGGGCCTAGGTCTCCCCAAGATGGCGGCCACACGATCAAGCATGCCGGTTGTGTTTGAAGACGTCATCAGGAAAATAGGAGGTCGACTGTTTAAAATTTAAACTCGGTATAATTCGTAAATACCATGACGCTGAATTGTAAAATGTTGTTTGTGTTGCCAGAGCATAATTGCCTGTTACGCTTTAAGAAAGATTTATGGATTACAATTCTGAGGTAAAGAGTGTCATCAGTGTACACTAACGCAGTAACGGCCACCTTTCTTTAATCAGCTAGGATTTTTTGGTGTCCGATCCATATCACTTTACTCTTTATTGAAACCCTCGCTACAATTCCACCTTCTGTACAACAGCCGGTTAATTGGGCCACTGTGGCGGTTGTAGAGTTAACTGGGCAGTTTTGACTAGTTTTACAATCTCTATTTTCTTCGCATTGTTCTTTTACATTTACAAAAGAAAAGTAAGTGGTCTGGCTGTATATGCCAAATAATATAAGAAAATTGTAATTTAAATTTAACCGAGGTGAAAATTTTATAAATCCTTGCTAACTTAACTTATGGGAGGACACGTCGATGGCCTAATGGCGTTAGGCGCGCGTGGGTCACTCCCTGATCGAGCGGTCTGGGTCGTGCTGAGCCCTGGCCTGGGTCCATTGTGTTTGTGTTCTTGGGCAAGACACTTAACTCTCACAGTGCCTCTCTCTAGCCAGGAGTATACATGGGTACCGGTTAACTGTTAGGGCAACCTGACAAAATGCTGGTGGATAACCTGGCGTTGGACTAGTATCCCACCCAGGGGGAGTAGCAATACTCAGCTGAATAGACCTTATTCATAAATGGCGGTGGATTAATTATTCTTTTATATTCATGCTATCAGCCTCCCTAGCCTCATTTGAGAGTAAAAATTATTTTGAATTTTGCACATACTAACGAGGCTAGGGGGGCTGATTAGCATGAATATAAAATAATAATTAATCTGCCGCCATTTATGAATAAGGTCTATACTCATAGTCGGCTTTAACTGTATTTTTCTTCTAAGTTTTTTTTCCCTTCATTAGGTGGCTGATCTTGCAAGTGTCATGGGTGTTAGTGTTGACAGGTTCAAAGGAAGATCCTCTGAGATAGATGAACTTTGTAGCGACTTGGAAAAGTTACTGAGCTGACATCGACCCTATGGAGACTAGCAATTGTCGAATGCTTTACAGACGCTTTGAACATTTTCACAGTCGGGGGAACAAGTACCAGTCTGCGAGATTGACTGAGCCCGCGGTTTTGGTGCCCGAAGTTGCTAAGCAACATGACGTATTTTCATTGCGCCAAGCTGTCGTGGCTGTTTATGAAGTACTCGTGAGTATTCGCGCTAGTTTTTGATTGCATAATATAGAATCGAACACTTCGTGCTTCGCCATAAACAGCACTTGTTCCCCCGACTGTTCAGTGAAACTGGTGTTTGAATTTTAATCTAAAGATAAAAGCGATTCTTGCAGGTCAGGATTAAAGAAATCAGGAGATTTTTACTTACCAGTAAAGAAAAAGTTTTTATTGCTAAATATTCCCTGCCCGGCGTATTGCCGGTTATTTAAAAATGTTTAATAATTAATTACTCCAAATATGATAAAATTGACAGGAGTCCACTTTGTAAACTCTATATTCAGTTGGTTAGAAATCTATTTAAGTAGATCAATGGTTTAACTCTTTTGACGAGAAATACTTGGCAAATGATGACTATAATTTTACGGTGATCTTCCAGAAACTGGGATTATCATCCCAGGCCTCCTCTGCCGA